TGGCCAGACACGACCAGCAACAAACTACTGTGGGAGAGAACTAACCAGATTCGAGTGGAGGAGGAAATCAGGAAGATGCAGTAGATGTGGATAGGACACATACTGTGGAAAGCACCTAACTGCGTCACAAGGCAAGCCCTCACTTAAAATGCTGAAGGTCAAAGGAAAAGGGGAAGGCCAAAGAACACATGTAGCCGAGAAACAGAGAAAGACATGAGAGGAATGAACAGCAATTGGACGGAACTAGAAAGGGAAGACCAGGACAGAAAAGGCTGGTGAATGCTAGTCGGCAGCCTATGCTCCATTAGGGGGAACGGGCGAAAGTAAGTAAGTATACTTTAGAGAAAAGATGTAATATATAAATGCTACATTCTAGTGGCTGTCCTTACCTTACATGTCTGCTAATTCCCATAACAGGGATTTCTCCCCTCAAGCAGTTTACGTCACTGATGTGAGCATAACTAAGCTTTTCGCTAGAATTTACATACTTTTGTCCTCATTTTTATCTCACCCATCTTTATTTCCTGATAATTTTTGCTTAAGTGTTTTTGAATAATGAAAAGGATTTATGGAGATCGCATAATGTTCATTGTTAACGTCACGAAGTGATCAAAGCTAGACAATTATTAAAGACCTGAAAGCGTAGGATGGCTGATGCATTTTAGAATGAGCATCAGGCTTGATCAATTCATGCTCAGATTGAAAATGAAATACAATGTTATTAATCGTCTTCAACTTTCAAACCCAGAACAAATGAGGGAAAGTTGACACTAAAATTTCTATCCAGCAATTACAACAATTACATTTCACACGTTATTAATTATAACCGTCGAAATAATAATAATAACATTCAATGTCAGCCAGACCTTAATAGATATTCTCATTGATCCTAAAATCCAACCAATAACTACAATTCCCTAAACGAGATGCAAAGCACGAACAACAACATAGTAAGGGGATGTTAACGCCAGAAGCACATAATTTTTCAACGAGCAAACAAGAACGATGTTGTCAAATCCTTTGACAATGAGACTCCACAGTGTGCATCCTCCTGCACGCGAGAACCAAGTCGAGGTCCTTTGGTCTCGCGCAAGAATGCTTAACATTTCTACAACTGAGTCCACATCCTTTAGTGTTATCGTCTAGCTTCATTCAATCCATAGTGCGGAGCAACTTTCTGTATTGTCTGAAGCAAACAGCTGTCTCCTACATGACGGTGGTCTGGAGGTTAAGTGTTCATGACCAAGACCAAAGGTCCTGAATTCAGTTACCACGTGCACAAAGATGCACACTGCTGAGGAGTTCCATACTGGGGCTGAATCGGCCGTCCACTGATTCTAGTTTTCGAATGGTATCTAGCTAAGATCAGTTCGTGGCATAAATCATAAATATTTCTATTACCTGGAAAATTGTTAATTATTTTTTAAATAACTTATGCTTTCGTCTTCACCTGATAATTCACATACGACTGACTGTAGGCGGAGCCATAAATTCAAATGTAGTGAGCATTGAATGAGTGATGACAGAGTTCCCCAAAAACACCGGACAGGACCTTGAATTGGTCACCAATAGATACTGAGTAATTAGGGACGATTTACCTTCGGAGTTAGATTTAAGGAAGGTATCTTGATCAATACTTGTAATAATACACGCCAGGTGTAACGAATGATGATGATGATGATGGTAATTATGTTAATGACCATATATCTTAAACTTTACTTAAAAAGTAATATTTCGAATGACAAAAACAATCATTAGTCAAACTCCGTGAGTATGAAATACAATAGTGTGATGTTTTAAAAATGGTTTACATAGTCATCCGTTTTGTTTATTTTGCTTCGTGTATCCTTTCATAATTATCATGAAGCCATGTTTAAAGTAAAGTCTAAAAAACAGTTTCATATTCTGAATGCACTTACAATTAGGGCCAATTATAACTGATCAATTTAAACGGTTAAGTATTTTCCAATACGCTTGAGAATGAACGGAAACTCTAATAGACCAAATCTTTGATAAACAACAACACTCCGAAATTAATAACCTATAAGGTATCAGGAGACTGAAGAGACCGAACCTGCAGAGTTATTTTATATTCTCAGCAAAAGTCACTAATAGAAACTCTTTATTTGGTGACACTGGTGACGTTGAGACGGCAAAGTTAGTAAACCGAAAATGGCTGTGGCCAATCAAGTAACAGCGTAGATCGTTGCTGATAAATAAATCGCAAATATCATCCAGGTTATACCTTAAAAAAAATGAAATATGTAATAACAAAAAGTGATTTAATCTGAGCTGTCATTCTTATCAGGTAGTACCCATAGATTCTCTGCATCACCAACCAAACACAACAATTTCTGGTTTTAGATCCCCATCAGTAATAACTAAGTTTCACTTCATCATCTTGATTAATAATCAGTTTAACTATTAATTTAGACATTCATTCTCGTACGGCTGTGACAATTGATTTTCGATTGATTTATCAAAAGTAACAATATTTGTTCTAAGATAATTCTAGTTCAGGAAGTGTCAAGATGAAAGATAGAAAGTGGTGAGGTGGGAAATTCATGTATAGACAATTAAATACTGACTATATGAGTAACATGACATGGATGAATTAGTGAGGTTAGCTTACACATGATGTATGCATTGAGAAGTTTCAACATATTTATTTATCGAGAAGATTTTAAAAGTTAATGTGAGAATTTAAAAAGAAATGGAAGTATTGATCTTCCTTCTTGACAGTCATAATCTCTTCATCTTATTCAATAGTGAACAACATTTGTTCTGATAGGTGCTAGAAATAAATAACCACTCCAAAGAACATTTTTTTGCACTTCTTTCCAGAAATTCTAACTTTTTATGGGAACCACTTGTAAAATTATCAGTACTAATTTCTTTTAAAAGATATTTTACGCTTTAGGCTTTTTAAATGAAAAGTGTTGGGTTTAATATTAAAACTTAGATCAAGGTAGATCCAGCTAACGAGTTCTCAGTAGGACAAACATCATGTCTCGGATCCCACTACCAGCAGCTATACAAATTTAACTAAGATATTTCTTTTTTTTGGAGTTTTAATCATTTCGTTAACCAATTCAAATTTCTAAGAACTGTTAATGAGTTTGATTAATCTTCTCATTAAATAATAATCAACTGTTGAAATTCAAACAATTTTAATCATCCATTTACATGTTGCTTTAATATAGACTTCTTGTTTTAATGTACAGCAATATTGGATACATACATAATTTAATGGGTTTCAAGTTTCGTATCCACAGCTGAGATTCATCCTATTACTTCGAGTTACAAATGATTTCTGACAGATAATTTACTAGTTAGTTTGATTACTGAAAATAACAGGATGTTGAGATGGTTCTTTTGTGTACAATTAGTGAAAGTAAGATATGATTGGCCTGTGAACGAAGAAAACCAGACACTAAGCTTATGAAATACTGTAACTTCTTTTGAAATTGTGAATTCTTTTCTGTTATTGATTTCTAAACTGATTTTACTCTAGTCACTAATCTCTTTGTTAACTACTAGTGTAGTGAACGAGAACACAGGTGCAGCAACCGGACTGTAGTTTACGAAAATTACAGAGTTACTCAGTAAAATCGGAAAACCATATTGTAAATCGTTAATTTACAAAATATCAGTCCATCATATCGAACTGGACTGTTCCTGTTGAAAAACATCAATCTATTGTCACTATTCATGCGTTTCACACAAATTCCATTGTGTTCTAACTCTTCGTTTCGTGATCTTCCCCAATATTCTGCTGTCAGACATTACGTTGACACTCACGTCATATACTACTTATAAGTAGTTCACAACACACTAGTATTCTGTCGAATATGCCGCTGTTTGTTCCTTCTCTCGTTCTCATTAGGTAGTCTTGATTCGTGAAACTGGATACAATGCGATTCAGTCTTTATCATGTGTATCGCCTAGTAGTATTATGATTCGGGAAAGTGAAATAAGCAAATTGTTTTTTAGACATTTGCTCAAAATGGGTAAGTTAAAAAAATTAGGACTGATTAGGAAGAAAATATATTTCTGTCGCTTCAGTAAACAAATGTTCGAATTGTAAAATTGTAAAAAATACTTATGTTAAGTATAAAAGCGTTCATTAACTGCTTAAGCTCGTATCAAATCAATATTACGTCAGATCTCGTTCAATTAACTTTCATTTTACTATAATTGATGAACAGAGTAATTCGTTGAACATCTTGAAAAATGATGGTTAATTTGATTGTTATCTAAACAAAGCAAAGTAACGCATTACACTTAAGCAAATAAATAAAAACTTAATTCCTAACGGATCATTGACGAATGACTGATAATTCAGAGGTTGAGTTTGATCATTTTCCATTTATAATACACAAAATCTATAATATTACTTAGAAATCTGGAGCAGGTCAAAGTTTAACTCTATTGAGCAGTTCGAATATATATATATTTGTGTTTTTGGGGCAGAGTTTTGGAGATTTGCGTTTTTTACACATTTGAAATCATCAATCAATCATTGTAAGACCACCAATAGAAACCTGGAAGCACTGGACGGCCGTTTCGTCCTGGTATTGGGATTCATCAGCAGTGCGCATCCGCGACTCCTACCCCTCGCAGGATTCGAAACCGGGACCTTCGGCATTGTAGGCGAACGCCTTACCATCGGACCACTGGGCCGGCATCCAACAGTGTTAATGTCTAACTCTGATTGATCAAGCGATATATATATATGTATTGAAATTTTTATAATAAACATACGAATTCAAGTGTATAAGAAAGTCGTTTTATTCACTCACATACAACGTCTAATATTTAAATATCACTGTGAGTATTATCTGTTTGTTACCAATCATTTTGACAAACATTTATTTAGAAAGTTTTGTTAAACATAATAGTGTCAATAATTATTCCCGTCATTAATATAACTTGATTTTTAACTGAAAAGCAAATTTAGGTGAAGAAAATCTGTCTCATTTCTAGGCTTTGGTCAATGGTCATGCAAACGTATTTCTTCTGGCAACAGGGACTGTTTGATTTCGGTTCTTCCACAGTATTTGTAATTGAGTAGTGACTCTATCTAAGAAAACTTCATGAGGATCGCGAAACTGAAGACGATGTCTCTATTTTAGGAAAAAAATAATCATGATTATCATTTTATGATAAAGATAAAATCAATTACTGTAAAACACTTTTCTCTATTTGGATATGGATCTTTTGGTAGGTACAAATCTTTTACCCATTTTTCACCTTGTTTTAATGGTTTCACAAAAGAGTTCGGCAATTTTCTTAAGACTGTGTTATCACAGTTAGTTCCCCATACTAAAGATCACTGGTTAAAATTGGTTTTGTCATGAACACTTACTCTGTTGTCTTGTTCTTTTGAGGAAATTCAAATTCATTGGATCTCTTTCATATGCTGTAATAAACTTCGGATGTTTACTTTCGTTTGTAGGTGTCAACTAAAAAAACATGAAAATAATTTTTAATCAAACAGTTCAAAAATTTTGGCATTAGTGAAATAAACCTCGATAATTGATATTAATATAATATATAAACCTGAAATTCTTTTGCATTTGTCAGTGAGTTTGAAGCGAGACAGTGGTGTAAACACTTACACGTTGTTTATTCTCATTTTGAAATAAATTATGCAAAACATTGATTTTTGAAAGCATGAAACGATCAATGTTAGACCGGCACTAGAAATCTGGAAGCAATGGACCGCCGTTTGGTCCTGGTATGGGACTCATCAGCAGTGTACGTCCACAACTCTTGCACTTCGCAGGATTCGAACCCAGGATTTTTGGTCAAGAAGAAGATAATTCTCATATTTAGACTGATTAGAGATGAAAACATGACTGAAGAATAGGAAATTTGTTCTGCCATACGAATCACATTTTTCATATTGATTACCCTAACATCATATTGTAAAGTACTTCATACAAGTAAAACGATTTAGTTAGTTTCTTATTAAAACTCAAAATTATCTTCCAACCCACAAGTTTCTTGTGCTGATCTAAACATATTTGTATGTGTATAAAAAATGTAGGCAAACTGATTTGGATCACGAAAATAGTTCTCGAATTTTCGAAGGAAATTCAAAAATCTGAATGACTTTTTATCTTCCATCTCGAAAAAGTGTTTTTACGCAGCAGACACAATGACTTTGTTATTCATTACTTAAACAATTAATTCGGTGTACTATTTTTTATCATTTGAAGGATTAAGAAATATCATTTATCATTAATAGAAGTGTTGAACTAAAAATACTGTATAGTCATGACATGCATACAATTCTTAAAATAATCACCCTTCTATCTTCCAAAAGAACGGCTATCCATGCAACTTCATCTAAAAACATCAACCGAAACCATCATCAGAAGCGAAATCAAGTACAGGAACCAATAGACGGATCATCCTACCATACATAAATGCATATCAGAGCATACAGCACGACTACTGAAACCATTCGTAATAGGTGTAGTACACAAACCAACAGAATCACTCCAATCAATCCTATGTAGACCAAAGGACAAAATGACAAAGGAAGAAAAACCAAATATCATCTACAAAATAAATTGTTCAAACTGTGAAAAACACTACATAGGACAAAGTGGACGACCTCTTCAGCTCCGTTTACGTGAACATCAATTAGCAGTCAAACGCCACGACAACGCTTCGCTTATATCAATACACACCGACAATTATCGTTACACATTTGATTGGAACAACTTGGAAATACTGGATAGGGGGAGGACAAAGAACACTAGGGAATTTTTAGAAGCTTGGCACTCAGGTCAATCAGCAATCAACAAACACATCGACATTGACCCAATTTATCAACCAATCAGGAAAATCATAGGTGACATAGGATCAAGAAACAGATCAAAAAGGGGATGCAATCAAAACAAAGGTGCAAACAACGACAGGTTTAAGGTCAACAACAACCAATCAAGATCGAGGTTAGCAGAACAAGCTACAGGTCAAATGTGGAGAAATTCGAATGCTTCACTTCTATCTGAAGTTTGTGCTGATGATGTTGTTCGGACGAACAATGAAAGCTCCACAACCAAAACACCCAGCTCAGAGAACCAAACACCACCACCACAATCATCCACCTGAACTACAAATCTTCTCCACCATCTCGAAACCAGGTTTCTTTCTAAAAATTTTCTCATAACTAAATATTTTGATGTGAAATTTGCCATCACGTATTGTTTGTTATCTGTGTAAAGTTCGATAGATCCTTAGATGTCATATTCTATGTTTTATCTGATATCTAATATTTGTGTCCAGGTCAGTGTGACATTACAAGCTTTAATTTCCTTTGCAGAATACTCAAAGTGATGGATTTCAAATCATATCTGAGTATTACAAATCAAGAAATATGTGTAACTTTCAATGTGGTCATGGCCTCGATAAAAATAATTCGAGTATCGATAAGATTTAGGTCAATAACCTCACTCTTAACACTTGTAATCATCCAAATGTTTAAATTAATTTTGTGTAACGAAGGATTTTAAGTAAAAATGGATATTTGCATCCCATTGTTACACTCACATAGGATTTTTTTGCGAAATGATTAGTGGAATAGAATAACGGATTACTTTATCAAAGTAACCTTATTCTCCAGCCACAGTTCTTACAGTTATTTGTTTCCAAAAGTTTCAAGTCAGTTAGAAAAATTCTCTACTTGAGTTCTGCACTCTTCGGGAGAATATCTCTTTGCCTATTTGCAAACTGATATTTCTTAAGGTTCTCATCATCTGCGTTCACCCCCATTCGTATTCAGTTCACAGTATTGCTGTTACACTATTCAGGCAATAACTGATAGTACTGATGATGAGAGTGACCAGTGAAGATGTCAGTATCAGATGAAATATATATTTCAAGAGGAGACAGTTTATTTACAAACCATTTAGTTAATTTTCTGGTTAGCGCATTTTGTGAGCTAGTTTTCTACAGGATGAGGTTGCCAATCACACACTGAACTCCCGTTGTTTATTCAGGTCGCTAACCCCGTGCCTAACCCTTCTCCTTTATCCGAACTTTGGACTGGCAGTAACTCTAGAAGGACTAGTGGCAGAGTTGATATTGTCCCTAAGAAAACAACACAGGTGAACAAAAGGTCTATTTTTATCGATCATAACTAAACAGATACTATTGCTTCGAATGGTTAAGATCCATAAATATTTAGAAGACAGGAAGTTTATCAGACAAATTTCAATATTTTACTTAGGTTTTTAGATCTAGAAAAATCGCGAATAATCATAATCTTGAATATAAATTACTAAACCTCCAAGAAATCTAAGACTATTTACTTCGATGAAATTTTAGAATTACTGTACTTTTTGATGCAAC